AGAAAACATGTCAGAAGAAGATTGGCAAATTCTTGATAGACAAGTCTTGGGCATTATCCGGCTATCATTGTCAAGAAGAGTTGCTCATAATGTTACAAAAGAGAAATCCACAGCAAGATTGATGGAAGCCTTGTCTGGGATGTATGAGAAGCCATCAGCAAATAACAAAGTGCACTTGATGAAGAAGCTGTTCAACCTGAAGATGACAGAAAGCACCTCTGTTACACAGCATCTTAATAATTTCAACACCATCACAAATCAATTGTCATCCGTTGAAATTGAGTTTGATGATGAGATCCGAGCACTTATTTTGCTAGCTTCACTTCCAAGCAGTTGGGAAGGTATGAGAACAGCCGTAAGCAACTCAGCTGGAAAATCCAAATTAAAGTATGATGATATCTGAGACCTGATTTTAGCTGAAGAAGTACGAGAAAAGACTCGGGTGAAAGCTCAAGTTCAGGTTCAGCTTTCAACATCAACACTCGAGGAAGGAGACAAGACAGAGGCTTATCCAGAGGCAGATCAAAATCCAGGTACAGAAGCAAAAGCAGGTTTGGACCCCGGAAGCAGGTTGAATGTTGGAATTGTGGCAAACCTGGCCATTTTATGAGGAGTTGCACAAAACCAAAGAAACCTGAAGCTGATTCTGCAAATGCCACTACAGATGAGGTACAAGATGCTTTGATCCTTGCTGTACATAGTCCTATTGATGATTGGGTTCTTGATTCTGGAGCTTCATTTCACTGTACTCCACACCATGAAATGATGCAAAATTACACTGCTGGAAATTATGGGGTAGTCTATCTGGCCGATGGACAACCATTGGAGATTGTGGGTATAGGAGATGTGCAAATCAAGACAGTGAATGGATCTACATGGAACTTGCAAAATGTAAGGCATGTTCCTGAACTAAAGAAGAAGTTGATCTCGGTCGGACAACTTGATGATAGTGGCCATTCAATCCTTTTCTCTGGAGGAATGTGGAAGGTATCAAAGGGAGCAATGGTTTTGGCTCGTGGAAAGAAAACCGGCACCCTGTATATGACCACAAGATCAGCAGATATAATTGCCTCTACTGAAGCAGAAAATCAGGCACAGCTATGGCATTGCAGACTCGGCCATATGAGTCAAAAGGGGATGAAGATACTTCAGTCAAAGGGAAAGCTGCCAGAATTAAAAAATATTGATCTAGACATTTGTGAAAGCTGTGTTCTCGGAAAACAGAAGAAGCTCAGTTTCTTAAAGGTTGGCAGGACCTTAAGACCAAGAAAACTAGAACTGGTGCACACAGATTTATGGGGACCAGCTCCAGTAGCATCCCTTGGCGGTTCTCGGTACTATGTCACTTTTATTGATGACTTTAGCAGAAAGGTATGGGTCTACTTTCTGAAAAATAAATCTGATGTGTTTGACACATTCAAGAAATGGAAGGCTATGGTTGAGACTGAATCAGGCTTGAAGCTGAAATGCTTACGATCTGATAATGGAGGAGAATACATTGATGGAGGTTTCAAGGAGTATTGCGCTGTCAACGGTATCAGAATTGAAAAGACAGTTCCAGGCACACCACAACAGAATGGTATTGCTGAACGGATGAACCGGACCATCAATGAACGAGCTAGAAGCATGAGGTTGCATTCTGGGCTACCTCAAACATTCTGGGCTGATGCAGTTCATACTGCAGTTTACTTGATCAACCGTGGACCATCAGTACCTTTGGAGTTCAGACTGCCCGAGGAAGTCTGGAGAGGAAAAGAAGTACAGCTTGCTCACCTAAAAGTCTTTGGGTGTGTTTCCTATGTGCATGTAGACTCTGATGCTCGCAACAAGCTGGATGCCAAATCAAAGAAATGTTTCTTTATTGGCTATGGAGATGAAGAATTTGGATTTCGGTTCTGGGATGATCAAAACAGGAAGATTATCAGAAGCAGGAACGTGATCTTCAACGAGAAAGTTTTGTACAAAGACAAATCAAGTACAGAACTAGAGATAACTGATTCAGATACGAGTCCACAGAAATCTGAATTCATACAATTAGAAGGGCTTCCTGATGTTACCACTCAAGAGTCCACACAAGATAGTTCAAGCACTCCAGTACCCACCACTTCTACACAAGATAGTGAAGAGCCAAGTGAACCAGCTGTTCGCAGGTCTTCCAGGACTATAAAGCCTCCACAACGGTTCACACTTCTACTGAATTATATCTTACTGACCGATGGTGGTGAACCATTAAATTATGAAGAATCCTTACAAGATGGAAACTCGAGCAAGTGGGAGTTAGCCATGAAGGATGAGATGGAGTCATTGCTGAAGAACAAGACTTGGGAGTTAACCAAACTGCCTGAAGGAAAGAAGGCCTTGCAAAACAAGTGGGTCTACAGAGTAAAGACCGAGCATGACGGAAGCAAACGGTTCAAGGCAAGACTTGTTGTAAAAGGGTTTCAGCAAAAGAAAGGGATCGACTATTCTGAGATATTTTCTCCAGTTGTGAAGCTTACAACAATCAGAGTTGTTCTGGGGATAGTAGCTGCAGAAAATTTACATCTTGAACAATTAGATGTAAAAACAGCATTTCTTCATGGAGAATTGGAGGAAGAAATTTACATGCAACAACCAGAGGGGTTTGCAATACCAGGAAAGGAGAGTCAAGTTTGCAAACTAAAGAAGAGTCTATATGGTTTGAAGCAAGCTCCAAGACAGTGGTACAAGAATTTTGATAACTTCATGAGTAGTACGGGATACACAAAATGTCAGGCTGATCATTGTTGCTATGTCAAACATTTTGACAACTCCTATATCATTCTACTGCTATATGTGGATGATATGTTAATTGCAGGTTCCAGCATGGAAGAGATTGACAAGCTAAAGCAACAGTTGTCAAAACAGTTTGAAATGAAGGATCTGGGAGCTGCTAAACAAATACTTGGCATGAGAATCATCAGAGACAAAGACAAAGGCATACTAAAGCTTTCACAGGCAGAGTATGTCAAGAAGGTTCTCAGCAGGTTTAGTATGGATAATGCTAAGCCAGTATGTACACCTCTGGGGAATCATTTCAAGCTCAGTAAAGACCAGTCACCAAAAACTGAGCTAGAACGTGGATACATGGACCAGATCCCATACGCCTCAGCTATCGGCTCCTTGATGTATGCCATGGTCTGTACTAGACCAGATATTGCCCATGCAGTGGGAGTTGTAAGCCGATATATGAGCAATCCTGGAAAGCAGCATTGGGAGGCAGTGAAATGGATCATGAGGTACTTAAAAGGCTCATCGGAGACATGTCTTATTTTCACAGCTGGTGGTTTGAAACTTGAAGGCTTTGTAGATGCTGATCTAGCAGGAGATGTTGATAGCAGAAAGAGTACTACAGGTTATATATACACTCTAGGAGGCACTGCTGTTTCTTGGAGTTCTACCTTGCAAAAGATAGTCGCTCTTTCAACGACAGAAGCTGAATATGTCGCAGTTTCAGAATCTGCAAAAGAGATAATATGGCTACAGAGTTTCCTGCAAGAAATGGGCAAGATGCATGGAAAAGGTACTTTGTATAGTGACAGTCAGAGTGCAATCTTCCTTGCCAAGAATCCAGCATTTCACTCTAGAACAAAGCACATACAGATCAAATATCACTTCATCAGGCAATTGCTCGACGATGAACAACTGTTACTTGAAAAGATCTGTGGAAGCAAGAATCCAGCCGACATGTTAACCAAAGGAGTTACTCTCGATAAACTGAAGCTGTGTAAAGCTTCAGTGGGTCTTGAAGATTAAAAGACAGACCTAACACCATTTGTGTCCAAGTGGGAGATTGTTATGTGTGTGGACACAAATGGACGGTGGCAGCCAGGGACGGTGGCAGCCATGGTCGGTGGCAGCCATGTTTGGTGGCAGCCATGGTTGAAGTCATAGTCAAATGGTAGGTGCCTAACTTGCCCACCATTGTTGAACAATCATCTCCCTCCTCAGCTATAAATAGAAGATGTATTGATAGCTGAGATAGACCACGAGATAGAGAGAAACACAGAGAGAGAGCTAAGGGTGAGAGTTGAGTTGAGTTGAGAAGTTTTCTCCTCCTCCTTGTTTTGTTGTTTGTATTGCTTTTGAGCTTGATTAATACAAACCAGTAGCTCCGTGGAGTAGGCAAGTTGCCGAACCACGTAAATTTGTGTGTGTTTGAATGTTTGGATCTCCTAACACTGTTCCCTGCAATGTTCCGCCAAGGAAGACACAGGCAATTGGAGTTGTCTCTCTATTCACGTGCTTCTCCATGCACATACTTAGAGAGAGAAGGGGAGGGAGGGGTAAATCTGTACTTAACAAACAAATCAATCTATCGTAGATTCATCATAGATGTATCAGCATTTATTCAACCTACCTGCATGCTGATTCCTTCGTATTGGAATCTGAATATTGCAATAAAAGTCCATAAAACGTCAAAAGCAAAGTACTCAAGATGCATTTATAAGTAAAATAAATTGAATCAGTTATATAGTACGTTTAAATTTGGTTGGTATATATATACTATTTGGAGTTCAAATACTGAAAATTCAAGAAAATCCTTGCTTGTAAATGCATTTGTGAAGTTTATATTTAAAACTTCAGAGGAATAATTTAGTTGCTTTAAAGTTGTCGTTGATGTCGGGGGAAAAAACAAAGGAAATGAAAACGGGGCCCTGAATTGTCTGTAGCTAAAAGGCTGGTTTCCTTATTGGGCTAGGGTGCTGGGCTCGTTCTTAGCGTGAGGTTGAATGACTAGGCCACTACATGAAGCGTCACTAAAGCCGAAGATTCCTTCCTTTATTTTGTAACATTAGCTTGTTTTGGAGGCATGTTTGGAGGGGATGGGTTTTTTAATTATTATTTTTTTTATATTGGTATATTAAAATGATTTTAAAATATAAAAAATTGAAGAAACAATTACATGTAGACACGGTTAAAACAGCATGTGAACAAATGAAATCATTTGTCGAGGCCTAACCAAAGAAAGAAACCGAGAAAGGTCCAGGCTAGTGCAGCTTTTATGGTATGCATGTGTATTCTCTGCAATGGTCAGTCTCCCCCCTGAAATTCCGTAAATGCCACCAGACGCATCATTCCCTGCTTCTGCCCCCAACAAATGATCACAAAAGAACAGTCCAGCTGGGTTTTCCATGTGGCGACTTCCTATAGGCTGGTTAAATGGCTAGGGAATCATTGGATGCTAAATCTAAAGGTTTGCTTCCTAACCAGTTAAATCCCACAAAATGTCACGCGCAACAATGCCAAGAAATGAAAGGCAGCCCCACCAGCCCCGAACTACTGTCGCTCTGTGCCTCCCACGAGCTCTCCCTTTTCCACTCTTGTGTGTCTCCTTTTACGCTGGACTTAAATTATAGCTCGAGTCCCTGTAAGTAACAGAAGTAATCGATTAGTCCTCGTAGTCTCATGAACCGAACAATCAATTTCTCTGTTTCTGATTCAGTCTCTCTGTCAATTTTATGTTGTTTTTTCGTCTTCTTTTTTTCCCTTCAAACATAACGCCTCATCCAATGAAACCATGACGAATTTATTAGAAGCAAAGCTTCACGCAATACCCAGACTTCCTATTAAAATAGTTATCACAAAATTGTTTTTCATGCAAAGCCCTCATAGTTTCAATCGGATCTTATTACTTCTCAATATAGAAGCCTGCCCATTAATCATAAGAACTACGTTGATGTTGTTAGATGCGGTGCCTCGTATAGCACTCTTATGCACATAAACAATGACTCTGTTTTTTTTTTTATGAAAAATGTAATAAAGCAAAGAGTGGTGGAAAGAGGGGGAAATTCGTTCAAGGAAGAAGGAATTTTGAGGAAAAATTGCTGCATGGAGGGTGGTAAAAGCTGATTAAGATACTGTTAAATTGTTTGTGATACTATCCAAACTAATTAATCACTCCAAAACAACTAAAGGGATTAAGTTACAGCCAATTATTCCCACTGCCATAAAAGTTGCAGCTGTTAAAAAAAAAAAGAAGCAGCAGCAGCAACAGGCACCAGTTTAATTATGGTACGGTCATTTAAATCCAAACAACGCGTCTGCTTTCCTCTCTCTCACGGACACAACACACACACAGAGCTACACAGCACAATGGTGTCTCTCTCCCTCCTCTTCCACCTCCTTTTACTCGCCTTCGTGGATCTCTCCACCTCCACGACGGAATACCTTAAACTCCCGTTACTCCACAAAACGCCATTTCCTACCCCACTCCAATCCCTCTCTTCAGACCTCCAGCGTCTCTCTCTTCTCCATCACAGCCACCACCGCCACCAAAACCACCGTCAAGCCTCCTCCAAATCCCCCTTGATATCCGGAGCTTCCTCCGGCTCTGGCCAATACTTTGTCTCCATTCGCCTTGGCTCCCCACCTCAAACCCTCCTCCTCGTTGCAGATACCGGGAGCGACCTCACTTGGCTTAGATGCTCTGCTTGCAAGACTAACTGCTCCATCCACCCACCCGGATCCACATTTCTCGCTCGCCATTCAACCACCTTCTCCCCAGCTCACTGTTTCAGCTCACTGTGTCAGCTCGTCCCTCATCCTAACCCCAATCCCTGCAACCACACTCGCCTTCACAGCACCTGTAGATACGAGTACGTCTACTCTGATGGGTCCAAAACTTCTGGGTTTTTTTCCAAAGAAACCACGACCTTAAATACAAGCTCCGGTAGAGAAATGAAGCTGAAGAACATCGCATTCGGGTGCGGGTTTCATGTCTCGGGTCCGAGTCTCATCCGGTCGAGTTTTAATGGGGCCAGTGGCGTAATGGGCTTAGGCCGTGGGCCCATCTCGTTTGCTTCTCAGTTGGGCCGTCGATTTGGTCGCAGCTTCTCTTATTGCCTCATGGATTATACTCTCTCACCTCCTCCAACCAGCTATCTCATGATCGGCGACGTCGTTTCCTCTAAGAAGGATAATAAAAGCGTGATGAGCTACACGCCGTTGTTAGTTAACCCTGAAGCCCCCACCTTTTACTACATTGCCATTAAGGGAGTGTTTGTTGACGGTGTAAAACTACGTATTGACCCTTCTGTGTGGTCAATCGACGAGTTAGGTAACGGCGGGACAGTTATTGACTCAGGGACGACGTTAACTTTCTTAATAGAGCCGGCTTACCGTGAGATATTATCGGCGTTTAAGCGTGAAGTGAAGCTACCGAGTCCAACACCAGGGGGTGCGTCCACTCAGAGTGGTTTTGATCTTTGTGTGAACGTGACGGGCGTGTCAAGACCGAGATTTCCAAGACTGAGTTTGGAACTCGGTGGTGAGTCGCTGTATTCGCCGCCGCCAAGGAATTATTTTATCGATATAAGCGAGGGAATCAAGTGTTTGGCGATTCAACCCGTCGAGGCGGAGAGTGGTGGGTTTTCAGTGATTGGGAATCTGATGCAACAAGGATTTTTGTTGGAGTTTGATAGGGGCAAATCTCGGCTCGGTTTTTCACGTCGCGGGTGTGCTGTCTCGTGATGCGAAACGGGGTCGCTTTCGTTTCGTAATTTTTCCCTTTCCTATTTTTCTTTTTCAGAGAAATTTGTGATAAACTGTCGTTAAATACTACCCCCTGATATTAATTATCGTTTTTAGATATTATGCGATTTTATTTTATTTTTTGTCTATTTAAAATGGGCAGTCAATGTTTCCTCCTTTACGAAGACAGGCTAATGGTGACAAAAAAAAAAAAAAGACTTTTCATATAATGCAGTTTTTTTATATAAGAATTGTGCCTGTGTTAGACTCTCTTACATGAACAGCGAATATGATTTTCAAGTGTTTTTTCTTCAGTGATGAATTAAATTAATTTTTTTATTTTAAAAAAATTATTTTTAACTTTAATATTTTTAAATAACCTGAATATATTAAAGAATTAATATAATTAAAAATATTTTTAAAATATAAAAACAAATAACCTCAAATAATATTAGATACAGATACAAGTAACATTGTCTGCAGGTGAAAAGATAGCCTCATTTCAAGAATCAATTACAGACAAACAGAACCTAAAACTAAAGTAAATAAACTAATAAGATTGGTTTGGATGTGTACGAGAGATTCCAAAAAATAAATAAAGAGACTATCTGAGAGCATAAGTAAAAAAATTAATAAGATTGATTTGCATGTATAGCAGAGATTCCAAAAAATGAATAAAAATATTATCTAGAAGTATGATGATTTTTATATTTTTAAAAATATTTTATTTTTTAAAAAAAATTATTTTTTATGTGCTTAAAATAAATTTTCTTGATCTTTGATTTTGATATACAAATGTCAATAATAAATTTCAAAAAAATAAAAATTCTAATATATATAATATAAATATTTTAAAAAATAACCATTACCGTAAAAATATATCAAATGAAATTTCAATATATAAGTTTTCTCCCAACATATGTCAAAGTTAAAATTTAGCTATTTTTCTGCAATTATAATTAAACTTGGATTCTTTGCCAACAGACTCTAAAAAAAATCGAACAACCCATTTCGGCTGTAATTTGAATTAATAACCTTGCAATCTCCATTTGCACCTTTTTCAAACACGTATAGCTTAGATCCCAAAATTCATATATATGGTATAAACTCAGAACTATATTTCCATTTAAATGATATCGAACATCATATCCTAGAAATCCATATATATGGTATTATAAATTATTATTTAGGGTAAAAATACTTAATTGTCCTTTAAAGTAAAAATATTATTTAACTTGAATTAATGAGCATTTTCAAAATTTAATTTTTCATAACAAAGTTCAATGATTGTGTTGCCATTAAAATCAACACTTCTCTAGCTTGTCTCCAGGGGTTTATTTGCATTTTCACTTTGTTCTTTTTTGTTTTTTTAATAAGCAAGTAATATGAGAGTCAATTTAATATTTTAATAACTATAAAAAATAGTTAGTGAGGGTGTTAAACATACCAGCAAGTAATTTGCCCCATTATTTTCAAGCAACAAGTGCGCCAACTTATAGTGGTAAAAAATGGCCTTTGTAGGTGTTTTTAAAACCGTCAAGGCGACACTAACCTCCCAGTGTGGTGTAATTCCCTTTGAGTGGGTTCCACTTGGCTTTTCCTTTTCCTTTTTTTCTTTTTTTCTTTCCTCTTTAATTTTTGCACCGGACCTCCCAGAATTTCACAGCAATCCTTTAATTATTATTTTTTTACTTAGTTTATATGTTAAATTTTGTTAATATTCTTTTAATTGCTTCTTATTTTACTTTAGATTTTGCTTCTTATTTGATTTGAGATTATTTTTAAAATTATTTTTTTAACAATTTCATTTTTATTGCTCTTTTTTTAATTTTTTAATTTGATATTTTAATTTTTTATTTTATTTTTTAATATTAAATTAAATTTATATATTGATTGAGCCGGATATAAGATTTAATAAAATATAAATTTGAAAAATTAACTTAAATTTAAGAGATGAATCCAGGGTTTTTTATTTTTTATTTTAAGCTTGTATTTTTTTAGTTATGTACTTTGATATTTAATTTAATTAGAGACTAAGCTTCCTTATCCAGTATACATAGGAGTTCTTTACTTCTTAATATCTTCATAATTTTTTGATGGTTATAAAAAAATGATATAATTCAAGGCACAATTCGGCCAAGAATCTAGTTAGTAAATAACATGCAAGATGTTTTATATTTAATATATGTACTGCTGGGCTACAAGAAAGTTTCACAGTTGAATAATCGCGTGAAATGGTGATATTTTTCGTACTTGTTTGAATATTTAAAAAAAACATCAAGTAAAATGTCGTTTTAAAATATACCATTTAAAATAGATGTGTTTTGCTTTAAAAATGAAAGCGGTGATTAATAAATAAAGGAGCGCTTTTAAATAAGAAAACAATAGCGTTGTACAGTCTCGTGGTGTCCCTTTCGAGTTAAACAAGATGTCCCTAACACTTTAACGGTATTTTTCAAACTAATATTAAATGCTTGGCAAGGGATAGTATTTTTTAAAACTTTATGATAAATTTTACGGGTTTTTTTTCAATTCATTTCTCTCTGTATATATATAATGATTTTTTCAATTAATGCAAATATTTTTTACACGTGTTTTATTATTTAACAGAATTCAATGAAAAGATGAAAATCTTAAAAATATATAGTAGAATGTTAAAATTTATAAAAAAAAATTATAAAAAAACAAGAATATATGGACAAAATACGACTCTAATTCATATTTTATTAGATAAATACATGGATGATTAGTACATAATATAGGAAATTGAAGGAATAATATAAACCTCGATGGAGATGATTTCTCAGGTAAATAATCTATATAAAAAGTTGTGAAGGGCTACGAATTGATAAAAAATAAAAAGACAAAATGTGTCTTTAGAATAAAGGGAGTGTTTAAAATATGATAGTAATTGTGGTTTGAAGTTTTTTTGTTTTAAAATAATATTTTTTATTTTTAAAAAATTATTTTTAATATCAACACATCAAAATAATTTAAAAATATAAAAAATAATTAATTTGAAAAGATTAAATTTTAATAAAACATGGTTTAATTTGCATTATCAATATCTCTCTTCTTTTTTCTTTTTTTGTTCGGATCCATCCCCATTTCTTATATTTGTTTGTAATTAATACTGGCATTGTCCCAACTATAAATGTAAAACGCAGATGTTTCTTCTTTTCTAGGCTGTAACTCCCCTTTAATGTGATTTTCTCTACTTGATAGGACCACAAGTAAATTGATTTGAATCACATGAATATAATGGCCTGTGGATTGAGGATACATACCAAGCAGTGAATGCGATCAGAAATAAATAGCGAACTATATATTTCCATGGGAAGTCCTGCAAACATATCAAAATAGATGCACAAGTTAATGCCGATACGTAAGGTCCTAAATCCAAAATGATAAATCTTACTAATCACTATATCTCCTTTTACACTTCGTAATCAAACTCCCTCGCTTCCTAATCTAAAATAAACATTACGAAGATGAAGGGTTTTGGTAATGATGCTTTTCATTGTTAGATTTTTTCTTAATTTTTTTTCATATAAATACATTAAAACCATAAAAAATACCTAAAAAACATTTTTTTTGTTTGTTTGAGTGCATTTCTAAACGCATTCCAATCGGGATTCCAGAGATAGATACCTGAAAAACACAATAAAATTACTTGTTTCAGGTTGATTGGATTTGATTTGGTTGTTATTTAGTTTGATCAATGCAAGGAGTCTGCGTGCTGAAGAGATAGCTTTACAAGCCTAGCATCCATGGCACAGAGTTATTGCACTTCAGGAGAAAAGTGGGGCTAATAAAAAAAAGAGAGTTGAGAATGGAAGGACAACGGGAGCAGAATCCGGGAAATATCATGTGAGAGGAATTACTGAAGCTGGAGTGAAGCCCCCATCTTGACAGCTGGTTCTGTACTCGTTTTAGCTGCCATGGCTGCTCCCCTCACTCTCTTCCCCTCCCCTCGTTTAATTACAACTATATTGTGAGATGGGCCATTGCATGGGACGTGGAGATTTTTTATCTCATCTTTTATGTGTACGGTGTTGGTGTTGGTGTTTGGTTAGGTTCAAAATCATTTTAAAAAAAGTTTTAAATGTTTTTATATTAAATTAATATATTTTTATATTTTAAAATTATTTTAATATATTAATTTTAAAAATAATTTTTTAAAAAAAAATTAATAATTTCTAAATAAAAAATATTTTAAAAAACAATTGTAACCACAATTTCAAACATACTTTCAAACATGTAATGCCATGATTATCAAGTGACAATCTCATATTTAATTTTAGTTTTTAATGTCACTTTTTTTAAGTTTAGTTTTTGTTTGAAAGATCACAAAAACTGAAAAATTCGATAACACTTTTGTCTTTCTACATTTGTTTTGTTAGTGATTCCTGTCGTAACCATTCTGTGACTCTCTTTTCTTTCAAGCGAATACGTGCAAGACATAATGCTTGAGAGCTAATCACAAGCCAAGTAAAGCCCATTTTAAAAGCCTTAAACTAATTACTGAAGCCCAAAATATTAAAACTTAAAAAATATGTCGGCTCCAAAAACAGTCTGCACGAGGATTTTATATATTCTGTTAGAAATTTAGCCCGTACGCAAGACAAAGGCCATATCCACAGGAAAGCAACGTGGATTTGGGTCCCCACATCATTGCCTAAAAAACAAATAAATAAAAGGAAAAACAAAACAAAGAAAGAAAATCGATCCGAATAAAGGATTGTAAATATAACAGAGACTGAAATGAGAATAAGAATCTATTTATTTTCTCCTTTTAAAAATAATTTTGAAAAAAATTGATTTTTTTAATTTTTAATTTTTTAATTTTCAGATTATTTTAATGTGTTGAAATCAAAAATAAATTTTAAAAAATAAAATAAAATATTATCTTGATATATTTTCAAGTTAAAAGAATATTAAAAAGTAATTACTTTCACAATATCAAATTCTAAAAAAAATATATAACCAATATTAAGAAAAGCATTTTGATGCATGCTGCATCCTGATTATTTGTTATTGTAATATGGGATATTTTTTTAATATATTTTTTGTTTAAAAGTATATTAAATAATTACTTTTTATACATTAAAATCATTAAAAAAAACTAAGAAAAAAAATGAATTTAATGATAGAATTAAATTCACACAATTTAATACAGACACACACACACATGAACAGAGGAAAGTCTCACATGGTACAGGCCAGATCTCCGCTGGAAACATCACAGACCTTCTCCACATCATAACCAGAATTCCCAATCCAAAGTTATGCAACCAAACCTGCAATTAAGGAAAATGTTATTAATATTTTTAAAAGATGAATTTTAGTGCATGTTCAAGATGATGCCTAAATAAAATTTCTGATGAAATGTAAAGAAGGATGTTGCTTAACGAGGCATATGACTAGGTGATTGTTCAGTTCCAAAATCTCAATATATGTCAATAGAGATAAATTAGTTGAAGGCAAATGGTTAGTGTGCATACTATGATAGCAGGATCACCCCGTATTTGAAATGTTCAAGTGAAGACTTAATATCAATTGACAAATGTGTATCCGTGCTTACTTTATAAAAAAAAAAAAAAAATACAAGTACCTAGCAAATTCACATGCTTTAACACAACTAGCTTAAGAGCATATCCAGTGATCATTCGTGATTAGCCACAGAATAATAAACTGCCTCGTGAATCTAAATGGCAAATTCAGAGACTTGAAATATACATCATTACATCAGGGATGCCGAGGTAGTCTATATAAAGTTATTTCCTGTATAGACAACTAACATGTATAGTGTGGTCTATCTTACCTGTTTACATGAATGAAGCATTTCTAATCCCATCTTCTCAAGGTTGGTTTCAGTGGTAACCTGTAAATCATAAAAAGAATTGATTAAAAAAAACATAGTAGTCCATGCATCAGTGAAGGAAAATTGGAAGCGAAATAAAACTGCAGAACCTAACTGCACCTGATGTGAGAATGGCAAGGTCCTACGAGCTGGACTTCCTATTTTCTCAAAACCCAGTTGCTCTGATGGTACAAACCATCAAACTCAACTAACTCTCGCTCTGAAGGCATCAATGCAAATTACAAGCTACAGAATATACATGAGATTTAGAACATCAATGCTCTTAATAAACTATGGAATTTCAAGGACAGAAAGCATAAACATTGCAATTGAAAGTACATTCCTTGCCCACTTCTGTAGCTCTTCCTCTTAATTGGGATTAAAAATGAGCACCAAGTATTCCAGTGTCGAGAATATTTAGTGTTTCACCCCTTCATAAACATGAAAAATTTTCACAGTAACTAAACGTGTTTCAATAAAAGAAAACTAACCCCTGATAGGACAATTCTAAACAAATCAACTTACCAAAGAAATGATTAAGATAATAACAAAATTTCTTCATAAAAAATGAAAAAACCTTCAATAAGGTTATTATTTTAATATTTGTCAGCTTGTTTCCTAATTGAAAGACGACTTATTATCCAAATTACTCTTGCAGGCTTGTAGCTCTATTCAATCTCATCTTACCCATGCAGTGCTTTTCAAATTAGAAATCACAAGCTTGCCGAAAAAACCAATAATATTCTATGTGAATCACTACAAGCAATGTATAACATGATAAAATCTTAATACCTGACTGAGAAGCGAGGAGCAGAGCAGGCATACGATCTCCTTCCAGTGTGATCCTAAACGCAGCAGATGCTTGTTCTACTTCTTACTTGGCCATGATTGTTTCTAAATCCGGGATAACTACCTTGTGCTAAGCACTATACCGGTTCAAAATAATCCAGTTCATTGCAGCAAGTAGTTTGAGTGCTCGTCAAAAAAATAAAATTGAAGAGGAAGAGGATGAGGATGAGAGAAATTAACGAAATCCGTACCTTCCGCGACTTTCGAGTCATGTTCAGATTCTTCAATCAGTTATATCAATCAAAGCCCAAAGATAAAATAATTTTTAGAGGATTGGGGATCTAATTTGATTTTCTTAGAAAACAAAGAGAATTTAAAGAAAATTAAATGAGAATTAGACGAGTGAAGATGGAGATTTAGTTATTGCATACAATTGTGTTTTTAATTTTTTTTAAATCTAAGTCTTTATATTTTACTGATTTTAAAAATAATTTTTTTAAAGTATTATTTTAATATATTTTAAAACAAAAATAATTTTTAATATATTTTCATAAATTGAATATTTATCGATTATATTTTTTTAATACTTTTTTTTCTTAGCCGGGATGTCTAGTTTTAATATTCGAGGTGGTATGAAACTTGAAGTGTGTGTGTGTGTGTGTATTTTGTGTTATTGGTTTATTGTTTATGGGTTTTGGGCTGTGAAATGACTGATATGGGGGGATGCTTTATCATTCAACTCCGAGGAGATAATAGGGATGGACTTGAACGACACGTCGTTTATCAGACCAGACCTGGACTTGGCTGGGCCGCTGGCTTATGCTGTCTATTGGGCTGGTTTTGGATTTCGGTTTCGGCTATGTTTTATTCTTCGCTTTCTTTGTTTTTCATAACAGTTGAAGCTAAAATTTACATTTACATTTACATTTTTTTTTTTTAAGTAGCACCAGGATTTAGTAGAAAAAATATCTTTTTATTCTTTGATTTTTTAATTTTTGAATAATAATTAAACCTAATTAAAACATAGCATTTTTTATATTCCCTTTCCTAAATAATATAAATAAATCTACAGGAACCAACACAGTTTCACACGATTATTTTTTTTATAAAAGAAGTAGCTGGAACGATAGGTTCCTTTCTTTTGTGCGTTTGCAAGTTTGACTCGGAGCTTCCATGGAAATATAACTCTTTCAAACATGGTATTACACGCGCGCACTTTTTTTTTTTTTTAAATCACTCATCTATGAGAAAAAAGGAAGGATAAAAGGCCTTAACAAGGCATATCCAGAATGCGAAAATTATTTTATCCAGTAAAATGATTATATAAATTTAAAAAAGAAATAAATGGTGTCCATAAAAAATTAATTTGAAATAAAAAAATCGATTTTCTTATTAAACGCAGAAATAAATAGTGTGCCTGGATATCTATTATTTTGTATCCTGTGGTAAGATAAAACTACAGCGACTCACAAGGGGTCATTGTAAGTTGTAACAGTTGAAAACAAAATAAAGCCACGACTAACAAAAAAGGTTACACAGTAGTTATCCAGTTTCCTTTATTTTAAATCAGTGTTGGGTCCAGCTAATTAATTTCATTAATATTGGTTAAAAAAGAAAGTTCAACAGTGAAGATGATAATGGAATGATTACTCAATTACTTAAAAATATTAATTGCCATTCAGCAATCAATGGAAAAGGTTTTAAAAGCTTTCCCAACACATGAGGGAATTCGTTACAGTCAACATATATGGTCTTCTACCTGCTTATTATTAATAGCTAGTTTGATTCCCATATTTCAATTAGCTACATCTTGCTTTAATTAAGCTTCTTCCTTTTGATCTCATATGATTTAGTGGGACTAATCAGCTTACCTTTCGGCTTTGGAAGAATGATAATCAGACCATTTTCTGTACTTGCAAGTGAAAGAGACGCATGGGGGTGAAAGGTATAATTGAGTGCACTGTCCCGCTTTGGGGACACAATTCCTTGAAAATACGGGTGTTATTTTTGACTCTGGAAAAGAAAAGGGACTGGTAATATATCTCCTACCAGACAACGAAATATACCTTGTTCATCCATGATTAGGGCTACTTGTGTTATCACTCGATTATTGCCAAAATTAAGAAGAAGAAGCTTGTGTTGCTAAGGCATGCTAGAGAAGTTTGAATTTTGTGAGATCTTGAGGGAATGCTTTGATTAGATTCTATTTGGTCCCATGGAAAGATCTTCCTGATTTAAAGCCAGAAACTCTCTTTTTTTTTCTTTGACCGTCCAAAACTTGTTAATCATGTAGACTATTTTGATCCTTTTCTACTTTTTTCAAGGACATAAAGATCTAATAGTTACCAGTGGCATTGTGATTCCTAGTCTAGGTCCACTACCACTGGTACCCTGCCTCGATGATGTCTTGTTAGGCTTGATTTAAATTGACATTCTCGCCGGTTTCTTTCTTTTCTCTTCTTTCCTTTTTTTTATAAAAAAACAAGAAGAAGATGAAAATCTCTGTTTAATTGTCTGGTAATGGTTCTTTTACTGTTCTCGAATTCCAAGTTGGTGGATTGGGAGTCTAGACTTTTTTTTTTTTTTAATGCAACAGGACTTCTCTAGTTGAGGCTCGCATAATGTTACAGTAGCATAGGTTCGTGGCAGTAAACTTTACGGAAAAGTTTACTGATAAATTTGAAAGCTGATTTTTTTAGCAGCAAGGAACCAGGCTTTGAGTCACTTCATCGTGTTTCCTGCTCTAATTACTCTTCTTGAACCTTTCTGAGCCATGTGTATACAATTGTACAGACATATACTTACGTGCATGAAAGTGCTTTTTGGAACGTCTGATTATCTAGCATAGCGCTGGTAACCTTGCTTGTGATGTTGCCGCTAGCTGTTTTAAGCGAGTGGAAATAAAATGAATCAGCAAAAAATAAAATAAAAACTGAAGAAACCTGAATAAAAAAGGTGAGATTTCCGGGGTTCAATTTCATGAATCTACCTGCGCGTGGCTTCAAATGTAAGAGGGACTATAAATACATTACCTTTTGAAGACCCCGATAAGCTTGTTGAGAATCCATTTAACCTTTTAGTGGAAGGCATGAGTGCCCTTTTGTCTTGTGCATTACAAGAAGTTTTGTACCGGGAAACTGGTTTGATAGATGGAGAGTTGAGAAAGGTAAATTAACGGGCCAGTTGGGGTGTAAAGTGAGTACACTAGCTAGTGTAAAGTGAGTACAGTAGCTAGAACAAGGAGTAAACCATGTGTAATAATTCTAAAATAAAAAAAAAAACCGTCTCTAAGAGTTGGAGAGCATTATTATGTACTAAAGATTTTACGTATCTTTGCCATGCTTGGTGCCACCAAAACTTACAGGACTTTAATTTCATCAGTAAGATTGCGGGACAAACTGTATACTATTAACTTGCTGTCGGAGCTCACACAATATTCTCAGTCCGAACCATAAATTAGTTTGGGAACTTCTAAATAGCAAGCTGGGGCTTGTCCCAGCTGTTTAATTTCGTCCTGAAACCTAGGGTTTCTCTTCAATAAAAATTAATTTCATAATTAACTCTATTAATCCATCAACGTCGTCTTGTATAATTATATCATATCCAAATTCAACCGAGCACGGTCAAAACCTGGAGCTAACTGTAATGAAAACGGGAAAAAAATATGAAGTTTTTCAGCCCTTTTATTTTATTTTATTTTCCCAATCAAAAAAAAATTGAGTAGGAGGATTGCTGTATGTAAATTATTTAAAAACATTTGACGGACCACACGTCTTGGATCATAAGGAATATTCAAGGACATTATAGCTCGTTAATGAACCTGAGCGTTCAATTATTGCTGTGATTCTTGACGTCCCAACTTCTTACGAGCAACGGTCCACAAAAGTTGGTATTATCGAGGTGCATATGATTAGTGTCATATAAATATAACCTGGCTTAGGCTGCGGAAAGAATCTAGCAAATACTTTGATTTCATTTATTCTAATGGAGTGGTAGGTAAAAACTAGTTGAATAATATGTTTAGTGAAATTTATAATGTAAATTATGGAGAGGATCTTCGACACCCCTGTTATTAGTAAGTACACAAACTAGACGTTTAGGTTTTGATACCATAATATTAGAGTCGAGCTTGCACCTTTCTATTCCATGGGTTATGGGCCTCCTGGCTCTATATCATTTATCTTACATGCCAATTACACATAATATTGTCTATTTAATTGACAAATGATATACTGCATAAATGAGTTTTAAGTATATCAGATAAATATAGAAAAATTGAGTTTGGGCTGAAATTGATATGTACTCATGTCAGTTCTAAATAGCATACGATTTCATTAATTAATATATAATTCTCTATAATACCATATGTCCACTACGTCGGATTAATTTAACCATATATTTTTCTTACAATATAAAAGTTAGTATAAACTTTGTAAACTATACTCAGCAAGTGCCTAGTAAACATGCCGTCCAATTTACCATTTAAAATTGATAACTAAACAAGACATGATGAGTTTATGCTGTCTCACCTTCAGTCTGGCGGATGATATGCTAATCTTCAGTCGTTCAGCTCCTTTATACAGTATGCGGAATAGTAATTGCATCTTTTTATGCTTTGAATTAGTGTCAGGTCTGAATAACTCTAAAAGTAGTCTTATTGGTGTTGATATAAAAGATCAGATTTGTGATTACACATCTGGAATTCTTTGATGCAAGCAGGAAGATCTTCTTTTCAAATGTCTAAGCCTTCCTATTGGTGCAAGCTCATGTAGAACTTTCGATGTGGAAACCTATATTCCATAAGATCGACTCTACATTGGCTTTGTGGAAGGGTAGATTTTTATCCATGAATTGGAGGTAGGTTGTGCTTCATTAAATCAATTCTAAGTAACTTGTCCATTCACTATTTGTCTTTGTTCCTTATGCTATGACAGCAACAACAATTAAAAAGAAATTGCGATCCTTCTTGTTGTCAGGGAAAGAGGAAGGTAATAAGTTGTGTAACGTTAGATGATTAATAATTACTCATACTAAAAGTGCCGATCGTCTTGGGATTGGATCTCTGAGAGATAAAAACAATATCTTACTGTTCATATGGTTATGATGTTTTGATTCACAGGAGTTTAGCATGTGGAAAAATATGATAAAAAAACATTTATACTCTCAAATGCTTCAGCCTTGTACCGTAAGATACTATTTCAGGGCTGGAAGTATATGATTGTGAATTGTTAACTACCGTGTTAAAGATAATAAGCTGCATGATGTGGTTAATCATGGATTTATAGTGTTAGCTGGTAATGATAAAATGATTTAATTTTAGCTTGATGCTTGTATTGATAATGGTAGTTTCCAATTTATCCAATGATAATAAAGCAAACCTCAATAAGATGAGAGTTTG